TTTATCATTTTTTAATTAAATTTACTTTATTATTATTTTATAATAATCAATTAAAAAAAGGTATAATTTTGCTAAATTTCTTAATAAATCATAGTAAAAATTGAAATTTTTTTATTTTTATTATGATTTATTAAGAAATTAAGCAAAATTATACCTTTTTTTAATTAATCATTATGAAATAATAATAAAGTAAATTTAATTGAAAAATGATAGATATATTTTTTAAGATATAAAAATATGTTTCTTAAAAATATTTGCAAAATTAATTAGTAAAAATATTTTTTTAGAATTTTGTTATTCTTTTTAATTTTAAATATTCCAATTCACAATTTTTAGTATAAAATTATGCAAAAGTTTATTAATTTAAATGTATTTGTAATATTAAATAAACTTGTTTTCTATATTATATATTTTATATATATGAAATTTTATTTGTTTTGAATAAATTTTTGTGAAGTTGTACCTAAAAAACTAAATTCTGAATACTTATAATAATCACTATATATACAAACTTTGAAGTATATAAAGAAAATATGAGAGATAAGAGATATTTGAAAGAAAATTTTTGTTAAGAAAGATTTTTATTTTTAGTTATAACATGTTAAGTTAAGACTCAGATAGTATTTCTATTTATACATTTTTTGAAAATATAATTTCAAATAATAATAATTATCTAATTAATAATAAAATAATAAAAAGAATAGAAAGAAATAATGAATAATAAAATAAATGATAAAAATGATAAATAATAAAAAGTAATAAAAAATGATAAAAAAATAATTAAACTAAAGAAAAATAATAAGAAATAGTATAATGATAAGAAATAATAAATAGTAATGAAAAATAATAAAAAGTAATAAATAATAATAATAGAGAATAATCAAATTAAAAAAAATTAATATTAAAAAATAATAAAAAATAATAAAAAATAATAAAAAATAATAAAAAATAATGAAAAATAATGAAAAGTGATAAAAAATAATGATGAAATAAATAATTAATAATTAATGAATTATTTGTTATTATTTAGAGTTTACTATTTTTAGAGATTTTTAATATTTTTTAAAATTTAGAATTTTCTTTGAATTTATAAAATTATTGTTATTACTATAATAATATTTTTTTCAGATTTTTTAAATTTAATCTGATAAAGCTGTTCTAATTGTATATAAAATTAATTATTTTTTTATAATTAAAATATATAAAAAAAATTAATTTTATATGTAATTAGAATAGCTTATCAGATTAAATCTAAAAAAATATATATTAAAATATGATATTATTTTTATTTAATATAAAATATAAATATTTATTAATAAAATTGAAAACTATTATATAAAGAGAAAATTCTATATTTAATTAATAAATTTTGATATTATTATATTATTTTAATTGTTACAATATATTAAAAATAATTTATTATTTATTACAATTAGTAAATAAAAAAAGGAATTAAATTTATTTAATATTTATATATTATAATTATAGATAAAAAATAAATATTTATATAGTTACAGGCTATATAAATATTTATTATAGTCATTCTAAAATAATCAATCAAATCATGTCAGTTTCTAATTATATAATATAATTTAATCTAATTAGTTAAGTCATACATATGATCAGAAACTGAGTACAAATTATATTTTTATGTATTAACTTATCCAAATATATTAAATAAGTTTTATATTATATTTTTCTCTTTAATATTAACAATGTAATTATATTTCTATTATCATTTTCTTAATTATTTATTGTTATTTTTGTAAAATATTATATCAAAAACTATTAATTTTATTTGATAACAAGTATTAGTAAAGAATTAATCAGCTTTTTTAATTTCAAATAAAGATAATAATTATATTTGATTTTTAATTTTTTTAAAAACTCTTATATCATCCAATAATTTGAATAAAGTATTTTTTTTTGTTCTTTCATATAAATTAAATTATTTTTTTACCATTTTTCATAATGTTTTTGACTTTGTCAATTTCTTTAATTCTATTACATTATATAATATTTATATCTGAAGTAATATATCATTAATGCTTTTTTATTTCTATTTATTATTATATTTTAAACTTTTTAACTAGTATAAATTGTTTTTGAGTATTGCTTTCTTATTATTTTTTATAGTATTTTTAGTTTTATTAATTACTTTAATATTTAAATAATCTTCTAAATTATATAATATTTATATCTGAAGTAGTATATTATTAATATTCTTTTATTTTTATTTTAATCTTTTTGATTAGTGTAAACTGCTTTTGAGTAAATTTGTTATTTTTTGTTCAGATTTGTAAAAATACTTTCTTACAATGTTAAATTCTGTCTTTCTAATCTAAAATTTTATCTATAGTAAAAAGTATTTAGCATACAATTTAATTCAAATATTCTTACCAATAATATTCAATTAACTGATTAATATATCTCAAATACTAATACTAATAATATTTGATCAGCTAGCTGTATATTCCGATCTCTTTTCTTATCAAGTTAATATTAGCAATTGCAATATTAGTTAAATATCAGTACTTATTAGCTCAATTAGTTAATATATTCCAATTTTTTTCCTATTAAATCAAACATCAACAATCACAATATTAGTTTTTTCATCAAGTTAAATATTAGTAATTACAATATTAGTTAAATATCAATACTTATTAGCTCAACTAGTTAATATATCCCAATTTATTTTCTCATCAAGTTAAATATCAGTAATTGTAATATTAATTAAATGCTAATACTCATTAAATTAGCTAAGCAATATATTCCAATTCCTTTTCCCATTAAGTCAAACACTAGTAACTACAATATTAATTTTTTCACCAAGTTAAATATCAATAATTGCAATATTAGTTTTCTTGTCAAGTTAAATATCAGTACTTACAATATTAGATTAGCTAATTAACATATTTTAATTTCTTTCTTTGCTAATTTAAATATTAACATTTAGTATGCAATTTGACTTATAACAGCAAATTGATAAATATCTCAATACTTATTGCAATTTACAAAATTTTTTTAAAATTATCTATAGAACAAAATATAATAATAAAATATATAGATATTATCAGTATTAATGTAAATATCAAGATCAAAATTAAGATAAAAAAAGATAATTGCTGAGAAATAATATAATATATAAATTAAATATAATGGTTATTCATGATTTGTGAATATTATTTGTTTTAAAAAAATGATATTCTCAGTATTACTTACATAAAAATCATTTTTGAGATCTGCTTATCAATAAATTTGTTATTTCACATTGAATATTAACTGAACCAATGTTGAAAAATATCAAATTTTGAACTACTAACAAAAATATTAACATGCATACTTAGCAGTAACTACTTTTTGCAAAGTATTTTTCTATCTTAAGACTTAATAAATACTATTTAAAAGTTTAAAAAAATAATAAATTAAAAATAAAGTTATTACTCTAATTAATCATCTTTTTGAATACAAAGCTGAGAATATAAAATAGATTATAAAATGATGTGTTAATTCAGTGACTAATTCTTGATATTATTATTTTGGATAATACCATAACAATATGATCTTTATATTAAATATTGAGATATTATATAATAATATAATAATATAATATATATTTTACTAATTAGTTTAAAATAACACTTGAACTTTTTGTAATTATTGATAATAACAACTAATTTTGTCTTGTAGACAAATATTAATAAATAATGAGACATTAGAAAGTTTTGAATGAATTTTCATCACTTTTCTTAAAACAGTAAATTTTTCTCTCTCAGTTATTATAACAAATAACAATCTTATTAGTAATATAGCAATTGCAAATATAATATCAGATATATATTATATTTATTATATTTATCATATTGAACAAATTTCTTAAAGAATCTAAAAGTCAAATTCGAATTGCAATATAATGAATTTTTTAATGCTTGATACCAAATAAAAATATACTATTTCAAGCTAAATTTGATTATCTTTGGGATTTTCTCCTCAAATAATATTATATACTAAATAATATTAATATATTTTTTAGTTTTTTAAGTTTCTAAGTTATAATTATTATGAATATTATATTATGAATATTATATTATTCATTGTAATTCTAATAACTTTTTAATTTTAATCTTTTTTATACTTGTATAATAATTTGTTAAATATATATAGCAATATGATATCTAGAAAAGTTGATTTTACTCTTTATTAACAAAGTAAATTGTTATATCAAAATATGATTATATAGTAATTAAAGTTTAAATATCACATGTAATTAACATTTTTTTTTAGTTTTTTCAAGTTCTTTTAATATTTTATTATAGTAATCTATTATTTTGTTTTTTATAGTTAGATGATAAGTTATTTAATAATATTCATTAAATATATTTAAACTAAGAATTATCTACAAATACAAAGGAAAGCTGATAGCAAATAATGAAATCTATAATTATATTTGTAAGTTATTGGTATTATTTATCTGTTTTTAAATATAACTTGCTTTTATATTTATTTGTAATATTTTGCGAATTATTGATTTTATTGTGTGTTTTTATATAAATGTTTGGTGAGTACCTGGAGAATTTGAAGATTTGTAATGAGCTTTGCAAATTGAGCAACAAAGCTTGTAACTTCATTTTTATCATTAAAAAATTCACAGATCCAAGAAGTTTTACATGAGGTTATTAAAGCTAAACCATCACTTTCATCTTTGCTTGTTGATCCTGCAGTATGTTCTGTTAATGTTTCTTTTATAATACCCTCAGACTCATTTTCAGTAGGTTCATTATCTAATAAACCTTGTTCATTTAAAGTGGATCTTTTATGTCTATGAAACATTTTAATAAATAATAGATAAATTTGTTAATAAATTGCAAAAACTGTATTGTATATAATTAACTAACTAAATTTATTGCATAATACTCGCTAACAAATTATATGATTTGTCAGTATATTTTCAGACTGAGAAAAAAAGAATTATGAATTTATTTACCCACATTCACTCAATCCTACAATTGTTGTCTTTTTCTCTTTTGACATAATGAAACTAATAATATCCAAATACTATATTTGGAATCTGTTTTTATTACCTTGGAGAATCAGTGATTTCGCGTCAGAAATATTCGAAATCACCAGAATCATTAATTCATTTGACTTAACAAAAAATGAATTCATTTTTAATTACAAAACTCTTTCATTGGTTATTTTTTAAAATAGATCATCACTATCACTCCATGTGGAGTATTGAACGAAAAATACCAGGAATAAAGTGGCAGCTCAAAAGAAAGTCACTCGAGAACTTAACCTAAACAAAAAAAAAGAACGAGCTAGAAAAAAAGTTCAACAGAAAATGAGTAATATATAGCAAAGAAAAAGAATTATAAACCCCTTCGCATCAAATTTCCAATTTTATGTACATATCATGCGCAAAAGCAATAATCTTTGTACTAGCATGACAAATCACTATCTTCTTATTTGTATTAGGCTAATCCTAAATATGCCATAGTATCAAATTTCATGGCGCTAATAAAAATTTTTCCTTGTAGCAAGTTTAACTTCGTTATAATACCTTCTTCTCCCTTATAGAGTTTTGTCCGAACATATTAATTATAGGAAATTGAATGTCTTCAAACAAAATACATGTAACTACATTGGATTTTGTCCGGTAACTTGTTCGACGTGTCTAGTGACAACAAATTATAGGATATACATATATATTCGAACTAGGGTTGTTAAATGAAGCAGCATACTATGCAATTTCTAAATTTCGCTCCACTCTGGAATCATAATTATATAAATCAAAACCACTCCATAATCCCGATCACGATCTGATCTGCCATAATATACTTATCCAAGTTAAAAAGGAAAGCATTATTCTTTCTTAACCCTAGTCAGTCCTATTACTAGCATTATTATTAGTTCATCACAATACCCTCTCCCTTACATGGCTTATAATATAAACATTGACATTAGATTGAGTGATATCATGATATAAATCATTGCTGTTAGTGACTAATGTAGTTGTTAACTCTTCAAATGCACATTTAAACAATAGCGATAGTTTTTCCTATTCCAATAAACTAGTATTTCCTTTGTAGTAAAACAAATAATCAAAATTCCAGAGATTGTTCTTTAAGCAAAGTAAATATTATGCTTATAATATCTGTAATAATGGTTAGAAACTCAACTTATGAATATATAGTGACAAGCAAAAATAATGCAACAACATCAAAATTTATTAATTAAATATAGTAAAATGCGAGGTTTTTTTTATATAAAAGTTTTCAATTTTATTAATAAATATTTTTTATTTTTACATTAAAATGAAGATAATATCACATAT